CGGCTGTAGTTTCTTCTTTGAACCAATTTCTGGGTCAGAGATTTTAAGTATAATAAATTCTTTAAAAAATTCTGATTCTTCTGGAAATGATGGTATCTCAAACAGTACTTTAAAGAACATTGCTTTATATGTTGTTGATATTTTAAAGCATTTATTCAATTTTAGTATAGTCACAGGAGTGTTTCCAGCCGATTTAAAATGTGCTATTGTCATACCACTACATAAGAAAGGGAATAAGAAAGATAAAAATAACTACAGACCTATTTCTCTCTTGCCATCAATCTCTAAGGTTTTTGAGAAGACTGTTAAATGCAGAGTCTTGCAATATTTGGATAAAATACAGTTTTTCAGTCCATTGCAATATGGATTCCGGTCAGGAGTATCTACTGAAGATGCTCTTCTTAACTTTTGCTCGTTTATTTATAAAGCAATGGATGAAAAAGGGACTTGTGCTAGTCTTTTTGTTGATATAACAAAAGCTTTTGACATGGTCGACCATAATATTCTTTTATGTAAATTGCACTCAGCAGGTTTCCGTGGAAAAGTTCTAGATTGGTTTGAGTCATATCTAAATTTAAGAAGTCAAAAGGTGAAAGTAAACAATAATCAAAGCGCACCTAGACAAATTGATTTGGGAGTCCCGCAGGGGTCAGTCCTTGGACCAATTTTATTTCTGATTTATATTAACTCGCTTTTTTCAATGCCTTTTGTAGGAAAAGTCACAGCATTTGCAGATGACTTGGCAATCGCTTATAGATCAAACAATGCTTTCAATCTTTTTGTGGACATAAATCACGATGTGAGCCTCCTAAGAGAATGGTTTGCTTCTCATAAACTTATTGTAAGCAATAAAACTAAACTAATGTATTTTAGTCTTAGTGGCAAGGAAGTAACTAGTGGGGATATTATTTTTCACTCTGCAAGCTGCTTGCGACATAAACTATGTACTAATACTTGTATTGAAAACGAGTCTCGTGTTATTTATTTTCCGGATTCAAACTGTGACGCAACATGTTTCAACGTCGAAGTTGTTTATAATTTTAGATATCTGGGTGTTATAGTCGATCACAACCTAAGCTGGTCTTCGCATATCTCTGCCATGAAAGTTTACATGCTAGCAACCGTTCGCTCATTTTATCGCCTTCAGAAACTATGTGCAAGCAGTGTCCTAAAAATGATGTACTATGGACTAATACAGTCTAAACTTCAATATGGCATAATTTGCTGGGGCAGTGCATATTCTAGTAGAATTCAACCACTCTTAACTTTGCAGAAGTGTCTTATACGTAGGATTTGTAATGCTAGCCGTTTAACGCACTCGATGAATCTCTTTAGGAGACTAAATATTCTCCCTGTAAGACACTTGTACTACTTTAAAGTTTTAAAATTTTTTTTTATGAGAAGTGGTTACTTACGAAGTCCTATATACACTTCACTCATATTAAGAAGCAAGAAGCAAGAAGAAGAACAAACGTCACTGTTCCTGCCTCACGCACAACTCTGTATCGAAACTTCTATACCATAGTATCGTGTATGATTTTCAATAAACTTCCCGATGATATACAAACAATTCGTAGAATAAGCGTTTTTCTGAAGCAGGTGAAATTATGGTTTCTTGGTTTAAGCCATGACGATATTCAAGTTCTGTTACGGCCTATCACATAATCGGCTTCCGACTTAATAACATAATAACATTGCAACATATTTTCTTACTACTTTTTATTTTGATTTAACAAGTTCACTTGTAAGTGGCTTGCTATGTAATGAACCGATGTACTTTATTTCTATTAATTTTTAAAAAAACTTTTATATTAATAATTTATTTATCATCAATGTTAAACCTTTATAACTCCGGTAAATGATATTCTTTTTGCACCCCACATTTTTACATTTCTACATCTCTATACTTCGATTGTAATTATAACAGTAAATGGTGTTATCACTGTTCTCATTTTGAACACTCAACGCCATTAGCTATTATCTTATTGTATCTATTTTACTGTATGTTCACTAATGTACAAATTAATGTTAATTTCTTTAAATTTCATAAGATAATAATGAATAAAAATGAATGAATGAATGAATGAATATTTTCAAATAGGATTCTCGGTGAAAAAAACAATCGATTGGGATGTATCACTTAGTTGTAGTACATTTCCTTCATAATGAATTTTTCAATGACAGTTTTCATCAATAACTGTTATATTCGGTCCCTGTTTTTTTGTAATTTAGTAAGTGTAAAAAAAACTTTAACGTGGGTATTGCTATTCGCTCCAAATTTTTGGTAAAAACATCAAAAAACGCACAAGAAAAACTAAAAAAAAATCTAAAAAATATTTTAGA